CCTCATGATTTAAAACCTAAAGATTAAGTCAGTTTCCTAAACCATCCAAGCAATGGCCCAGCCCCAGAGCCATGATAGAGTGGGAGAGATGCTGGGGTGCCCTGCCTCTGAGCTTCGAGGCCGACGGAGTCCTCCCTAAGTTATAGGAAAAATGAAGGTCAAGACACATTTCTGAGCTGTTGATGGACTAGGACTCCTGCCAGGGTGTTCCCAGCACCTCTGTTGTCTGGCCCTGTACCTTCTCTGGCTCCCACGTGACACCTGCCGTCTCCTGCCCTGGGCTCTTGATGGCGGCTACACACATCTTGCTCATTCTCTTGAGTCATATCAGGACTTCCTTTCCTGAGCATTATGAGGACAGCAGTCCACTTGGTGAGGTCGTTTGTAGGCAATGCATTGAGACCGAGATGTCTTTCCAATCATTCTAGAATTTTTAATCCTAAAATAGCTTAAGTTTAAAAGCGTATGATCTATTGCAGTGCTTCTCCAAGTTGAATGTGCATACAGATCACCCAAAGAGCTGGTTAAAATTCAGATTCTGATTGAGTAAATGAGGTCAGAGTCCATAATGCCACACTTTGATAAGCTCCCAGATGATGTGCAGGGCCCTGGAGTGATTCTCCACCTGCACTGCACGTTAGAATCACCTGGGAGGCCCCCCTCCTAGAGATTCGGGTTTAATTGGTTTAGGATAAGGCCCAGGCAGTGGTAGTGTTTAAAAGCTCCCCAGGGACATAGCCAGAGTTAAGAAATACTAGTGTAAGGGTTAAACCTTAATTTAACTGCTAAATGCACAGAAAGGAAATTAAATTTACTTCCAAACCATTGCACTAACCTGTGGTGTGACTCTGGGAAAGTAATTTCCTTTTGGCCCCATCAAAGTTCCAAAGGGAATGACAGTTATTGCTTTTTTTTTTTTTTTACAACTTATAGGGCTATTTGGATAAAAGAATATTTTCCTGCTTAATTTTAGCCTGGTTGTTTTCATTCTGACAGAGTGTTAACCTCATCCAAGCCAAGAATATATCATCATCCATCTTATTTCCACTTTTGAGTCATAGGGAAAAATTGACTTTAAACCTTCTTTGTTCGGTTTAGCATCTTCTAGACCAAGCATTCAAAATGGGGACAAGATCGCCCCCAAGGGAGTGAAAATTGGTTCTTGGAGGATGAGGAAATCTTAGATATTACAATAGTTTGTGGCCCTGCAAATCTCAAATCTATCCAACAAAATCTGATTTCTTTGTATTTAATTTCCCCTGTTAAGGATAAATTAACTTTAACTAAAATTTTAAATTTTAATTGAATTAAATTTTTCTTCTTAGGGGGTGATAATGGAAAAAGGTTGAGAAACACTGTTCTAGTCAGAGACACCCGAAACTAAGCTTGTATGTACTTCCTGAGATGGATCTCCTGAACTCTAGCTGGGGAAAGTTTGTGCTACCTTTTCAGAGGAATGAAATTTGGGCTTAACAACGAATTCTAGGAGAAAACTTCAAAAGCATCTTCCTGTCTTCTCAGTAAAAAAGTATTCTTTTGATGAAAAATTTGAGTTCCAGAAGCGTCTAGTTATCTATGCAACGCTGAGCTCTCTTGCTGATGTGACATCCTGGAATGTGGTGTTGAGAGCATGGCTGCTGAGGGCAGACACACGTGGGTGTGGGTCGTGGCTCTCTCTTTCCCTCTGGCTTTCAGCAGGTTCTTGTACCTAAGCCACATTTGCATCTGTACAACTGAAATAAAAGTTACTTGGTAGATTTGTTATTCAAATGAAGCATGAATTGGGTATAAAGAATGTAAAACAGTGTCTGGAACATAATGAGTGCTCAATTCATGGTGGAAGAAGTGGCAGTTGTTAATATCTATTTATCCATCTATCTATCTACCTACCTATCCATCATCTACCTACCTGTCATCATCATCATAGTAAAATATCTGTGGGCACAAAACAATCTCCTGTCTGTCCTCACCAGACCTCCGTATCAGGTCCAACTCCAGAGAATCCTTCACGAGTCGCCTTTCTGAGCTAATGGAGCAATAGAAAGTGGGAGGCGAGTGCTCCCTTCTCCCTCAGTCCCCGTATTTATGCGACAGCTCTTTCTGCAGTGCTGACAACTGTTAGACCAGGAGGCCTGGGGAGGAAGAAGGTATTCCGTGAAAGAAAAGTTGATTCTAGATTCCATTAGCCAAAGTAGTCTCTGATTTCTTCCTGCTGTTGCGAAATAGAGCCAGATTTACTTTAGCCAAAGTAAATACAACAACCAAAAAAAAAAAATTAAGTTTTGAAAAAAAAGAAACCAAGAAAGAACAATATACGTAGACCAGGGAAAGAATAATTTTTATATAAGAAGAGAGTCGTAGTCTTTTATGACCTCAAAAGCAAGTCATATCTAAAAGCTTTGATTTTGCTTCCCTATCTATTATTTATTCAACTTGGCTAATGCTGTTGTTTCGAATCTTGGTCTTGGTGAATACTATTATTATTGTGTGGAACACGAGCTCCGTAAAGCACTCTGACATGGAAAAGAAAGCCAACATAAAGTGGGCTTGTTGCAAGTCTGATATTATTTCAGAGAATCATTTTTAAAAATGCATTCAGATTTGTGTAAATGCAGAACTTGGGTAGATGTGTTGCCAACAAGTTCTTAGAATGCTTTTTCTAACAAACTGATCATTAAAATCCATCACCAAGAATGAGAGAGATGTGGGTCCTTGGTGCCATGCCTTAGAGGCTCTGTCAGTGCCACCAGCACACATCTGTGGGTCAGTCAGCATCCGCAGAGGCGTGTCTGGCACACATTCCTGATTGCTACTGTCAGCTGCAATTTCACGTGTAAGTTGGAATTGCAGCCAACTTTGGCTCTCTCAGGTTCCTGGCCAGTTTGTATATAATTATTGGAATGTTACATAAGTACCTAAGAACAGCAATGTGCAGATCCTATACCTCCCTAGGGTCCTTACATTCCTGAGATGATCATAGACAGGTATACAGGTGAGGAGCAGGGAGCCTGGGACCACACTCGAGAGGAGAAGGCGAGTTGGGCAAGGCTTCTTAGAGCGAGTGACGCCTCAGCTGAGACCTGCGGAATGAATTAGCTAGGCCAAAGGGGCAGGGAGCGAATGTTCCAAGCAGAGGCAGGTGTGGAAGCCAGGATCCAGGGGAGGAGACCGTCATGGTGAGGAGGCAGGAGGGATAAACAGGGGTCAGGCTCACGGGGCCTCAGCAGCAGTGTTAAGGAGTTTGGACATTGTCCTGAGGTTAGTTTTAAGTAGGCAGTGACCCAGTTGGACTTGCACAAAGGATTAAAGAATTCTTGGGGAGGGATGTGGTAACCCAAACTACTCCGGAAGTATGGGCTGGCCAAGCTGTCCAGGAGGGACTGGATGCGAGTTCAGCCAGCAGGCGTCACATAGTCTGGGTCTTCTCCACTTTACCTGCGCTGTTCGAGCGCTGCACACATTATTCTTTGCTATAGAAGCTTTACATTATTAAATTGTCATTTCAACTGAAGGAAAAGGTCAGACCTCTTTTGTTCTTTCTGATTTATGATTTTCTCTGTTCAAGAAAGTATTCCTTGGTGCTGGTCAGATGTGCACTCCTGGGCTCACAGGACTTTGAGACTGACCTAATAATCAGAGACTGATTATTATATGCCAGGTTTTGTGACCACAAAAACATCATCTGCCAAATTCCTGCAGCGGTGTGTCAACAACACAGTGTTTTGGTAGCATTCAAAACCCAGCACATTTTCCAAAGAACTTTCTTTGCCTCTGAGAAGAGGTTTGGTGACAGGGTTAAAGGGCCCACTAGATACAAGCAGGAACAGAAAAGATGTAAGTGTGCCTCTGCCCTGAAGGTGCTTCCTGTCTGGATGGCATGACAATGATAAGCACAGCAAACAGCGTGAAATAAGGACAAAGCTATGATCAGTAGGTGCAGATGGTTTTTATACAAATTGACCCATTGAGGGTGGGCATAGAGTGAACAGAAGTCATCCAGGAGGAACTCAAGGAAGGCCCCCTGGGCAGAAGGTCAGCCTAGGGATTGGCCAAGAAGGGAGGAAAGGCATTCCAGGAGGAGGTCAAGGAGAAACATGCCCAGTAATAAGGAGCTAAACCGGTGCTAAGCAACATGGCCTGGCTGAAACCAGGGTTTGAGTTGAGACAAGCAGTGCCGTTGTGGATGAGTGGGGAGTCAGGTCCTCTAAGCTGAGCCACCTGGAATTCAAGGTAAAATCTGTCCGAATACATTCGTTCCTGTGTGACATAATCCTAATTAGAGTTTCCCCTCTAACTGCTCACCAGATACAGCTACTTGGTTCGTTCTTTCTTTCCTTCCGTCCTTCCAGATCCTTATCTTTATAATTTGTTAAGGTTTTTCTTAAAAATCTGATTTTGATTTCCTTAAAAACCCAATTTTCTAGTAAATGGTAAGTAGTAGTCTCTCGTCCCCCATTTTCTTGTTTTGTTTAAACCCTTGATTCCTTCCGGCTGTCGCGCTTTGTTGTCAGAGTGAATCTTTCTGGCCATGCGGGAGGGACTGTGCAGAGAAAACCTGGGGAACCAGTTCTGTGGGCTGTTGATTAACCTGACAGCAAGGATGCTGCTGACCAAGGACATCCTGTTCCTGACACCCCAGGCAGTTCTTTGTATCAGTGTGTCACTTTCTCTAGCTCTGTTTTCTCATTTGAAAAACTGGGATAATGACATCTGTATATCTACGTGCAAGAACTTGAAAAGATTCTCCACACATTAGACAATATTGAGACAGGTAGTTATTTAAGAAATCATGTTGAGACGTGATCGCCATCATCGGAGATTGGGGGGGAAGTTATTCTAGAAAGGATCAAGATGGTGATTGTAATTTACCCACTGTTTTTAAAACTTGAATGAGCAGAATAATATACATGAAAGGATTTCAGGAACTCATAAGCTTTTTGGTTTTCCTTGATGGCCTCTATGATGACCTAATCAAAAACCGAGAGCCTTTCTGTTTTCAGATTGCAGAGGGAATGGCGTACATTGAGAGGAAAAACTACATTCACCGGGACCTGCGAGCAGCAAACGTCCTGGTCTCCGAGTCGCTCATGTGCAAAATTGCGGATTTTGGGCTTGCTCGAGTGATTGAAGATAACGAGTACACAGCAAGGGAAGGTATGTTCTCGTGACCATCTTTAGGTGTTTTGTTATTGTTTAGTGTTATTTTGTTTTTGTCCTTTTTTAACAAAGTTGCAATAGTCATCATTTAAAAAAACTCATTTGGTAAAATATTCAAAATGTACCACAGGAGCTGTTTGTGGTTCTATTTTAATAACTGTTTTAAAAAGTTACCTTCTTGATTAACTCCACCTGAGACTTTTATAAAGTTTACAAATGCTATCATTTGTATTTCAATTAAGGGAAGCAGAACAAAAAAGAGATTTGGCAAGATCAAGATTCTTTGTTTACATTATATGTTTATATTATGTGTTTTCACCCAAACAATGAAGTACACTTTCCTTAACTACACAGAAAATATTTGTGACAATCATTCTATATTCTAGCCTTTTAATAACAAATTAAAACATAGAAATTATCACACCCATGGAAGTAAATATAATGCTACAAAAATCACTCCTTTATTTTCCCACATTCCATATTATACACAGGAACCGAAAACGCACAGGGAGGCGTAAATCTCCCAGTCCTTGGCATGTGGCTCTATGGCCGGGCCCATGGCCCTTCCTCTTGCTTATGGCCTGAGGATTCTGATGGGCTTGCTCAGGAAAGCTGAGTCAATGTTTTTGCAGTGCTTTCTCTCTTCTGAGAGAGCCAAGCACTCTCTTGACATTCCTAAGAATTGTTAAACAAGGATTATTTTCCTTTTAACTACATGTGTGTGATTTCTGGAAGATGTCCGCAGGATTTAGAGAGGTGACAAAGAGTCTGAAAACATTGTTTTGATTTGTTTAGCATCTCTTGCATCCGTCATGTTTAAGGTGGTTCTCCTCCTGCCTTCAGCCTGTGTTCTCCTAGGTGGGTGATAACTTATCCTTGACCTTCATTATCCTCAGCAAACAGGCAGGTGAGAGGCTGGCCCCATGGCCTAGTAGTTAAGTTTGGCACACTCTGCTTCAGCGGCCCAGATTCATGGGTTTGGATTCCAGGCGCAGACCTACGCCACTCGTCAGCCATGCTGTGGCAAGGACCCACTTATAAAATAGAGGAAGACTGGCACAGATGTTAGCTCAGGGCTAATCTTCCTCAGCAAAAAATAAAAAAAAAAAAGCAAGGCGAAGGAGAAGAGTTGGAGGAGAAGGAGTTAAAAAAATAATCACTAAAATGTAATGAGCATTTGCAGTGTGGCAGCCACTATTCTAAGTGCTTTTCATACCTTATCTCATTTATCTTTACGATAACACTGTGTGATAAGTATTATTATTATTATATTATTCCTACCTTATAGACGAGGAAGCAGAGAGGTTCAGCAGCTTCTGAGGTCCCATAGTAAATGGTAGAGCCAAGATTCAAACCCAGGAGATCTAGCCTCAAAGTAAAAGAGCTAGAACTTATTCCACTAGTTTTGTTGAATTTGACAAGTCCAGAGTCTCACAAAAATAACTGTTCTTATGCGAGAGAGGTGGCCTAGTGCAGAGAGCTGGGCTCTAGAATTAAACGGTAGCCATTGCAGGGCAACCCTAGTGATGTTTACCTTTCCCTGGTATTTGTACTGTGCCAAGCATGCAAATCAACCCACTTAACCCTGACAGCAACCTGGGGAGGTTCTGTTGTGTCCTCATTTTACAGATGGAGGTGCCAAGAAGGCACAAAGACAATGAGTCACTTGCCAGGGTCACACTGAGCTGGAATAGCAGAAACAGTGTCCAAACTCCGGCTGCGCGGTGCAGACCCAGTGTGCCCCCCCCCCCCCCCCCCCCCCCCCGCTGCCCGGAGCAGGTGGGGTTTAACACCGGATTGTACGCAGTGAGTGCCTGGCACACAGGAGCTGCTCCACGAGGCTCTCTGGTGTCCTATTGTTCTTATTCGGATTTCCACTTTCAGTCTGACACCACCCAAAATTTTAAAGCAAAAACATAATAAAGGCAAATCTGTTTAAAAATGTAAAATATGGCTGGTTGAAACCCTTTGCCTTTCCAGGGAGTAGGAATGAGTCTGTACCTGAGTCCCTGCTTTCCTCAAGGTGACCTCGTGGGTGCCCCCAGCCAGGTTTACCTCTCAGGTGACCCAGTGACTAAGTATCCCTTAGCCTCACCAACTCCTCATGAGACACCTAGTGTCATCACTATCTCATTCTGGGCACATCATCCTCTTACCCGATTCCTGAAAGTGCAGTGATGTTTGGTCCTGTCAAGTGAGAGCGTGAGACATTAAAGTGTAGAGTGGCATCTAAAATTCCTATTGGTACAGGCTTCAAGAGATTTATCCACGAGAATGTACACATCAAGAGACGTTGACATTCCCTATAAACGTGGTATGGGCTCATTAGAGAAAATGTGAGCACTGAAGATGCAGGCTTTGGAGGCTGGTGTTGAGGGAGAAATGTACAACCTAAGAATAAATGCCTTTCCGTTCTGTGTCATGTTCTTCACGTGTGATGTGGGCTAGTTATGGTGTCTCTGGAGGAACACCGGAAACTTTGCTTCTTAAGAGGGGAATGCCCCAAGGGGACAGAGAGGAGAGGCCCGCATTGCTAGTATAACATTTTGTACCATCTCTCTTTTGCATTATGTGTATGTTGCCTATTCAAATAAATAATTAAAATTTTCCCAAAAGAAGGAAAGTGTGAGGGTCACATGCCCATGACGTTTTTGTTTCAGCTCAGAGGCCCAAGTAAGACTCACTGTCTTCTCCCTTAGGTGCTAAATTCCCCATCAAGTGGACTGCTCCAGAAGCAATCAATTTTGGATGTTTCACTATTAAGTCTGACGTGTGGTCCTTCGGAATCCTCCTGTATGAAATCGTCACCTATGGGAAAATCCCCTACCCAGGTATGGTTGACCTATTTCCATTCAAGAGGTGTGTATGAGAAAAAGCCAAATGGCATGAGGCATAAAAAAATAAACCCAAAGATGGCCCCATGGCCAAGTGGTTAAGCTTGCACGCCGCTTCAGCAGCCCAGGGTTTCACCAGTTCGGCTCCTGGGTGTGGACCTTGCACCACTCATGAAGCCATGCTGACGTGGTGTGCCACAGGGAAGAATTAGAATATGCAACTAGAATATGCAACTATGTACTGGGGGGCTTTGGGGAGAAGAACTAAAAAAAAACAAAAGAAAAATTGGCAACAGATTGGCTCAGGGCCAATCTTTTATAAATAAATAAAATAAAAATAAACCCATATCCAAAAGCTAAGAATAAGCATTTCGTGCTAGAACTTGATTTTGACTGTCTTTAGTGGAAAGGGTTCTAAAATATGCTTGGACACTTCTCTGCATTCCGACTTGCTTGAGTGCATGTTCTTCACTAACTAATTCTGCCACTTAATGCCTAGAATGTGCCTGGCACAGTCATAGGTGTTGCAGATATAAAGATAAATTAGGGGATTAGACACAGCACCTGATGGAAGAGGAAACAGACATAGAAATGAGGATTTCTGATGCCTTTTGGTTAGTTTTAAAACAGAGGTTTGTGTAAAGTACTTTAGAGTCTCTGACTCTTCAGGAAATACCCACCTCTGTTTATCAGTGACAGATCCTTCAAATCTTTAACTAACTGGATATGAGGACATCATCCCGTGTGTCTAGATTCCTAGCACCTGAAGCCCTTGGAGAATCCCAGATTCTGCCAGCCATCCCTTTTTCCAGGATCTGTGCTGGAATGTGCAAGAAGAGCGATTGTATATATATATAATCTGATACCTGATCAAATAAACCTATACTCATCAAATGATGCGTGATATGTACAGCATGCTCCACAGCGATGCACAGACGAGGCCCCTCTTGTCTGAGAATGAGACTGTTGCCCAGAACTACGTTGCCAGCTCCTGGCAGAGCTTCTGAACTCAAGACCCATGTGCCTCCCGAGATCTGGCTCTCACCCACTGTGCTCAGTACCCAGGATTAAAAATATTTGGCGTGAAAAATCATAAAAAGTGTAGAAGAACCAGTAGAAAAAGGGTGCAAATCACAAAAAAATATATATGATAAGATCAACCAGAAACCGTTGGCTGGTCTTGTCTCCAGGTGGCTTCTCCTTTGCGAGGACTGGGGACATGAGATACCTTTGGGAGTTCTGGGTTGCTGAGGTTTCCAGTCACAAGAGTTGTGTGTTAGCAGAGCCTCTCGCGTGAGGACGTGTTGAACAATCCTATTGACTTAAATATCAGAGGACTCGATTCACAGATAGCACAGAAATTGGTGAACATTGTAACACATGCCATTTCCATCTGTTATAAAACTGCTTGTGGGAGAGACTCCACTGGTAATTGAGTTGTCTGAGAATATTTTCTTTAACTGGTTAGGTGCTGGATATGTTGTTCTTTTTTTAAAGTGGTTTAGAAGCTGTGTGCCTAGCTTTGCAAAATAAAAAAAGAATACTATAAAAGAGGGGGGAAAACCAAAAAAGAAAAATAGGAAAGCCACATTTAAAGTGAATTCATATTTTTAGAGGAAAGAAAAACTAAAAGGTGTAATGTACCAAAATGTTACTATCATTGGGCAATGAGGTAATAGGTAATATTAATTTTCTTCTTAATAAATTTCTGAAATTTCTAGTTTTTGCAATCGGGTTTTTATTAAATATTTTCATTCTTGTCTAAGTAATATATGCACATTAAAGAATCAGGTAGTGCAAAAAGACTTCTAATGAAAAATTGCCTCCCTGGCCTCTTGCTTGCTGATGCTCCTCAAAGGCATCTACTTTCAGGAATCTTGGTTATTTATTCTAATATTTGCTGCTCGTAGTTCCAAATATTATCCACATACTGTTATTCTTAAGTAGAGTTTTTCCCCAATTTTACTTATTATTAAATAAGAATATTATCACATGGTTCTAAATTCAAGAGATACAGAGAGGTATATGGTGAAAGGTGTGTCTTTCACCCCTGTCCTCCAGCCACACAACTCCCCCCATAGGCAACCACGTTATCAATTTCTGGTGTATCATTCTAGGAGTATCCATGCACATGTAATTAAAGGTGTACCAAATACACATATTGCTTGGATGCCAAAACTGATAGTATCAACATAGACAAACCTCTGGGAATACGAGAATAAATTATGTATGCAATTTTGTCAATAAAAGTTCCATACTAAAATTCTAGTAGTCAAATACTAAACGTGTGGTGGAATAGTATAGGAGTGTTACTTCCCATTTGCAGTCCTACTCATTGAAATGGATACTTTGAGCAGGCACATCTAATATCATGAACTTCTGTGCACATCAAATAGAATTTAGGAAAAGGCTTTTTTGTAACGTGCTTTTTAGAAAATGGCTTGGCATCTATTAATCATATTTTGGGCAAATCTCAAAAATGCTTTGTCTTCAATTACTGTTGGTCCATTTCAACAATTTGTTGTTGTTGTGTTTTAAAATGTTTAGCCCCCATAGACTCAAAGCTGTGAGGAATTGTTCCTTCAAGCAGTCTCTTGGTCTCACTGATGAGTGAGCGTTGAACGAGTAAAGATGGTTTCTCACGGTTGTTGCCGTACGTGACTTTGGAGTCGTTCCTCATGAAAATTTGAGGCATCAAACTTAATATTCTGCTTCTAATTCATACTTAGAAGATAGAATACATTCCCAAATAGGACTTTTTCTTGAGAGACTGATGACTTAAATAAAATTAAATAGCTAAATAAGTACAGTTATCAAATTTGCCTGTTATTAATGCTAGAATACCAAACATTTTCACCTAGAATTTTTAAACCAACTCCACTGAATCCAACTTCTGAAATGTCTGGGCTGCAGGCTGATGGCTTCTGAATCCTGTCCTCTGTCTAGGGGCTCATTTCCTCTGTGGAAGAACTCTGGATCTCTCTTCATTCCTGAAATTTCAGGACAGTGTACCTTGGTGTGGTGCTTTTGCCGTTTTTATGTTATGCTGGGTACTTGTTTTCTCCTTTCTATTTGAAAACTTGTAGCCATATATTCTGGGAAATTTTCATATAGTATTGCTTCTTTGAGAATTTCCCCCTCTCCATTTTCTGTTCTCTTTCTGAGTCACTTGCTGGCAGGATGGTAGACCTCCTGGACGGATTCTCTGAGTCTCACGCCTGGTCTTCTGTCCTTGTCATTCTTTCCTTCTGTACTTCCCGCCCTTCCTTTGATAAGAGGTCTCCTGGGAATGAGGGTCTCTGGACCACTCAGCTTACTTGTCAGCCCCCTCATGGGTCAGTATCTCCAGGTCTGTTCTCTGGGACCATTTAGTTTATTCAGAAGAGAATTTTCCAGGCCCTGTCTGTGGGTACCAGCTGGCTGTCAGCATTCTGGGGGCTCATTGGGGAGGGGGCATCAATGTCTTTTTTTTTTGGTACTGTGGTAAAATTGACAGAATAAAATTTACCATCTTAAACATTTTCAAGTGGACAATTCGGTGGCATTTAGTACATTCACAATCTTGTGCAACCATCACCACTATCCATTTCCAGAACTTTTTCATCTTCCCAAACTGAACCTCTGTAACCATTAAAAACTAAATCCCCACTTCCCCTCCCCCCAGCCCCTGGCAACCGCTGTTTTACTTGCTCTATGAATTTGCCTACTCTAGGTCCCTCCTGTAAGTGGAATCATATAGTCTTTGTCCTTTTGTGTCTGGTTTATTTCACTCAGCATAATGTCCTCAAGGCTCATCCGTGTTGTGGCATGTGTCAGAAGCGTCTCACTTTTTCGTGTTCAGCCTTTCTCCTCATCCCCAGTGTCCAGCCACACTTTATCCGCTCCTCCGCTGGGCCAGGCGTTCCTGAGCGTGGAGCTTCTCTCCTTCAGTTTCTCCAGCGTCAACCTGGGTACCTGCCAGGCAGGCTCTGGGTGCAGTCCTGCCTGCGGCCACTGGCCTCACCCCTTCCTTTGCATGTGTGGTAACTCCATGTGGAGCCTTCCCAGGACTTGGGGGGATAAAGCACCTTGTCTGTTCTTGGTGTCCCTCTCTTGTAGGCGCTTTGGTTTCACGTTCCTCCTCTTGGTTCAGACCACTTCTGCCTCTGGCTGACAGGTGTCTCCTGCTTTCATCAAAGAGGGAGTTTAAGTTTCTGTTTCTTGTTCTCTTTTTTGTTTTGGGATGAATTAAAGGTGAGAAAGAGGGGAGGGCAAAAGATTCTTACTTCACTATCTTAAAAGCAAAACTGTATTAATATTTATGTATGAATTTTCTGGTGAAAAGAGGGATCTTTGTGGTTGGGGTTTTATTTTGCTTTGCTCTTCTAAAGACAACGGAGATTTGAAAATGACAAAGTTTTCTGAAGCATCGTGTCTTTTCTGGCTGTTTCTTACCAGATATATCTAGCATCTTAATGCTGTAAGTGACTCAGAATCAGGAAACTCATCCTGCTGCAAATGCTCACGTCAGTCACAAGCAATGCTCGGAAAGAAAATAATTTTCCCTTTTGGAAGTATTGTTGGTGTGAGACTGTGATTCTGTGGTAGCCGGTCCTTCCTCTCTCACACACACAGAAGGCCCCTGCGTCTTCAAAGATTGTGATGGTCCCTAGAGCTGCTGGGCTCCCGTCTCCTGTTACCAAGCCCCTATTCCTTTTCCAATCTCTGCTGTCCTGCCTTTTTCCTCTTCCTGTGCTCCTTCACCAACTTTTAGTTTCTGCTAATTCCTGTCCGTTTCAGATGTCGCTTCCTACTCCCCACCCACCTCCCTCTGCTAAGGGTATCTTCCCCATTGGGCTGTGTGCCATGTGAGGACAAGACTCTGACTTAATTATCTTTCTATCTCTTAGAACTTAGTGCTAGCTCATGCCCCATAGTAAGTACTCAATAAATGCTTGTTGATAGGATGAAGGATGGAATATGAAATTGCTTGCCTTTTTAGATCACCAGCCAATGGGTGTTTGCTTTCTTTAACCCACCAACAGACCAGTTACCAAGTATCAGGTTTAATCTTAGGTCTGGTGGAGCTCTCCTGCCCCTCTCCTTCTTTCTTCCATAAGACTTGTCATTTAAAAGCCTTATTTTGTTTGTCAATTTACTTGTACATAAAAAGATAGATTTCAGATTTCCTTGTTTTTATTCCTCTTATCAAGTCAGATTCCCCAGGCAGGATGGCTCATGCCTGACCTTTATCTGCGTCACTGAAAGAGTTCTTCAGAGTTAGGAGAACATACAAGAACAAGGAAGAAAAAAATCTGTGGTGCAGCAAGGGGAGGCCTTGAAAGGTTTATCATCTGTGGGCACATTCTGACCTTTTATGCAACTGGGGGTTCTCCAGGAAGGAAGTGAAAGAGGTCTTCCTAACCAAGTTTGCAGATCCCAGCTGCTGTTTCCGTCATTCTGGATATTAGTCCTCCCACCAGGATCCCAGAACTTCACCCAATGTCCATGTAGAAGTAAACACAGATATTTCTTCTGAAATTTATCCAAGTGAGCTTGGCTAGTTACAAGAGCCAGAGCAATACTGAAGCCACATAATTTCTGGAGACCAGAACTCCAAAAAAAGAAAGGGATGCAAATAGGCCCCTTGGCTTCAAGCAATGGGAATCACATGAAGTCTTCCAGTTAGAACATTCCAGTTACGCAAATATTTGAAGATGGTGTTTCAGAAGTAGACTTGAGCAAAATTAATTCACCATGTAAATAACTCTCAAGAGACTTTAATGATTATAAAGTTTGCTTGGATCTTTCAGTTTCAAAAACAAGGGCTCTTCCGAGACAGAAATAACCATGTCTTCTTTCAGGGGTTCAAATCCAGGCAGGGCCCTTCAGTCATTGTGTCCTTAGAGGAAGAAAGCTTAGTTAAGGCCAGAGGAGTTCACTGGTCCCTGGTCATGACCCACAGTGACAAATCTGCAGAAACCTGCTCCATATATAAAATGAACATTTCACAAAACCACGCCGACTTTTACTACGTGCAGTGCATTCTGATCTTTTTTATTTTATTCTGTTATAATTTATTTTTTAAAACACTGGTAGCTCCCTAAAAAAACCATTTTTTGATCCCAATTGAGTGGTGACCCACAATTTGAAAACAGATTAGAGAATAAATTCAAAAGAAGGTTCTGTTTCAAATCTAGTAAAGGACATTTCCCCTAAAGTACTAGCTCTCTTTTAGAGTCTTTCCAGTGACCACTGGCAATCAAATCTCCGGCGATGGAAAGGAGAGAGCTATGGAAAAGAAATTGTTACGATGGGGGAGTTCTTCATGTGCCAGATAGTGTACATATTCCACATGAAAATATTCCTCATGAAATACAGCTCCTCTCTAGAAGAGGCGATATCCATACAGAATAAGGTACCCTCAAAACAGGCAAAACATACAGATGTGGTTAGGTACTGATAAAACTGCCAAATAGGCACATTTCTCTATCCCATTTTAATAATGAGGGGAAATGTTATTGAAATGATCATTTTTTTCCTTAAAGCTATTCTCAGTATCAAATATCAACTGTTCAGCTTCTGAAGTACCCTGACACATTGGACCACACTAAAACCCATCCTCCAGTGGCAGTCCTCTTGGAGAGCTCAGTGGGAATAGTGAACACGCTAGTTCCCTCCCCGGTGGGAGAGGGTGCACGGTCCAGGGGCCCTGTGAGCTTTGACTCTGGACGGTGCTGAGGACTGGGACAATGTAATGATTAGGACATAATCAATCCATCTGGCTGATTTAAGGGTCCTGACTTCTTTAAGTTTACTTACAACGAAAAGCTGATTTTTTAAAAAAGTACTAGCATGAGATAATGTATGTGAAAATGAATTTTTTTGGTGTATGTATGAAGCTGAAAAAAATACTACAGAAGAAATTGAGATTAAAGGTTAGAGTTGAGCCTGAGTAGTTCACTGAAAAGGTCAGTCAAGTCCAGCGTCCTCTCATCATTAAAGAGAGCTTGCTGTGTCTTCTACTTAGCACGTTTGCCTGTTTACACTTTGGCAAACTGAATGCTGTCTTCATCCCCTTTATCCTGAAACTTGTCTACTTCTTCCTTACAGAAATGTCCTTAGCCTCCATCAATTTTCTAGGGCTACCATAACGAAATACTGCACACTGGGTGGCTTACACGACAGAAATTTCTTTTCTCAAGGTTTGGGAGGCCAGAAGTGTGAGATCAAGGTGTCGGCAGGGTTGGTTTCTCCCGAGGCTCCTCCTCGATTTGCAGGTGGCCGTCTCCTCCCTGTCTTCCCGCAGCCTTTCCTCTGTGCACCCGCATCCCCGGCATCTCTCTGCGTCCCAGTCTCCTCTTTAATAAGGACACCAGTCAGCCTGGGCTAGGGCTCATTTAACTCAATTCCCTCTTAAAGTGCTTGTCTGTAAATGCAGTCACATTCTGAGGTACTGAGGGCCCGGACTTCAGCATATGAATTTGCAGGGGAACACGGTTCAGCCATAAGAGCCTCTAAAGCTTGCTTCAGTAATGGATGCAGGATGTGGGTAGCAAAAAGACCATTGCAATGCTTGACCTCAGTCAGGTTTCTAAATAACACGGGTTTTTTTTTTTCTTGCCCTAGGGAGAACTAATGCCGACGTGATGACTGCCCTGTCACAGGGCTACAGGATGCCCCGCATGGAGAACTGCCCAGATGAGCTCTATGACATCATGAAAATGTGCTGGAAAGAAAAGGCGGAAGAGAGGCCGACGTTTGATTACTTACAGAGCGTCCTGGATGATTTCTACACTGCCACGGAAGGGCAGTATCAGCAGCAGCCTTAGAGCGCAGGAAGACTCCAGCCGTTCGCAGGGACGGCTGCCTCACTGAAAAGAGAAAGTGTGATCCCTGGTTGCACTAGTCACTCATGTGCTGGGACTATCGACCGTCCCTGCTCCTGAAAGTGAGGCTAAATTACTCAGGAAGAACACTCTACACGTGGAAAAGTATTCTCTTCTCATAGGCCGATGCCCATGGTTTGCAGCTCGGATGGCCCCCAGCTGGCCATCTTGCTTTGCTAGACCAAGATCTGAACACGAACTTCTGAGAAGAAAACACCTGTCCTATCCAGAATGCACCCACTGGGGCCCCTCGTTTACAACTGGTTGTGTGACTCGGAGATTCAGGGGCCGTTTCAATAAATCCCCAACAGCAGCAGAACTAAACTCACTCATAAAGATAAAATAACCAGATGCCTATCATGACACTTCTTTCTATTTTCTCTGTGCTTTGGCTGATTTGTTAAAAAAATTACTAATCCAACCTGTTAGATTTTGCAGGTAAAGTCAGAAGCTAAAAAATGTCTTTCCAAGATTTCAGTGATTTCCCCTCCCCGAAAGTCTGAGACTGTTAAACATTTTCCTTCCTTGGAGGCTGCTTGGAACCCCCGGATGGGAAGCAGCAGCACTTTCCTGGTCTCTTCCCTGTCAACGCGTCACTTGTGAGCCTGCAGAGCTGCTGCGTTAAGCAATGTGGAGCCCCCGACGGCCGGGCCCACCCAGATCCCCCGGGAAAGAGAGCTGAGCCTCAGAAACTGCTCTCTCTTCCAAAGGGATGTTTTTAATGGTCCAGCTTTTCAATTCCACCGTTTCCTACCTACAGACTTTTTTGACAGTGTAGTGTGGAAGAACAGCAAGATTTAATCTCTGCAGAACCTTCTAGGGCCTTATAAAACTTAAGAATTTTCTTTGTTGCTTCAGATGATTTGAACATTATTTTAATGATCAAGTATTAATTTTAGTTGTACTTTAAAAAGTAAAAATGCCATATTTGGGGCTATTTTCGTGATTCAGCAATCTTTTCTAAATCATGTAAGATGTGTGTGAGACTATTTATACAAGAATGTGAGGGAAAGGAAGTGACTTGAGGCTCCGATGAGCCACTGTAGCAAGGGACACGAGAGGTCTTGTTTACTGAGCTTTCCTACTGTAAGCGCTGAATGGGAGACGCTGTGGCACATCACGTGTCACTCTGCTGTTGTGTATATATCTAATGTTTCTATTTTGTGGTTTTATTTTAATACACCTGGCCCAGTAACGTCTCAAGCTTTTTACTTGTGTTTAACATTTCCAACTATCGTCAACATAGGAAAATGAGTACAAATTGGGGAAAATGAGAGGTGACCCCATATAGTTACGTTGTCTAGAAAACTTGTACGACTTCTCCCTCCATCCTTTGAGTGTTTTCAGATTGGAGAACTGAGGAGTTGATGGCCTGGACACCTGAACATCCCTTGATGGGAGCAAGTAGGATCTGTTCTCAGATAGGCTTAGCAGGCACCACTAAGGTTTCATTTGGTATGGGCTGGCTAGGTGTTAGGTGCCTAGGGGAAGGGATAAAATATTCTGCTTTCCCCTAAATTTTAACTTCTTTTCCTGTGTCATTTTTTTAATGTCCTTTCTAAAATATTCTAAAATTCTCAATTCACAAGTGCCGCATTCACAAAGATAGAATATTATCTTCGTATAATGTTTATGAAGCTTGATTCACAGTGGTAAGTTTTCCGCATACACCCACCTGTTCATATTTTACTTCAGAATCACGCGTATGACCCAACATGTTGCTTGGAGAAACAACATAAAGAATCCCTAAAGCAAAAAGAAATCTCTAGAAAATTACTAAATTCATCCTCCCCTTGTTTTTCTTCTCTCAATTCTGCTTCCTTTTGCAATTTTACACTCAACTTTCCCTCTCAATCAAGTATGTGATCCTTTCCTCCAAGTGTCCCCATTGTCCCCTTGGGCCTCGTCACTTTCAGCGTGTGCTCAAGCCACGTAGCACTCAATGGACAGCAAGCACAGTCTCTTCCTTTGGCAGTAGAATTCCAACCTCCTCATGACTCACAGGCAAAATGAGGGACTGAGGGGGTGTTTGTAAAATCTTAGGGTCTCCAGTGGTGTGCAGAATGGCTTAAATCATCACATCCCAGGTCGTTACTGAGAACTTGAAAAACAGACTCCCCACTCCCCTTTGCCCCAAGATCCCGCCTTCACTGGTCTGCAGTGAGGGATGTATGGCAATGTACTTGAAAAGCTTCGCCAGTGAACGTAAGGAACACCCAGGCTTGGAGGCCACTCTCCTGCTTTGACACATATTGCAAAGTTATCTGCTCAAAAGAAGACCAGCCTTCTCTTCCCTCAGCTGGCTTGGTTTCCCAAGGGAGGATGTAGAAGTAGACGGGGAAAGAGGAGGAGAAAATGTACGTTCTTCCTTTCTTATGAACTTGAAGCCCACTGGACTTAAAGTAAAACTTGAAAGCTTGACACCATCATCCTTGGTAGAAGGGGACATTCGGTGCTTCCGAGCCCCTCCAGGCCCCTCACTAGGCTCTGCTGGAATCCCACTGGAAAAGCATACTGCCTAGGCCTTCTAGGGGAGATCCTCCACCACAGAAGCCTTGACTCCTGTCCCAAGAGTGTATAAGAGGTCCATAAAAGCAGGGGCCATATTTATTTGCTTACACATTGGGATAGATCACGAGGGCACTGAAACCTAAGTATAAACTCATTTTCAGTTTCGCCTGTGGTGATGGCTTTCCCTTATCTTTCCGTTGTTCCAACAAACTACATCTGGGGCAGTTGCTGCTAAAACGTAGATACTCTGTGCTGAAACACTGGCATCCGATCTGTTAGAATGAATTAAATGCTCATCCTATAGTTCAGCTCCCCAGCCTTTGTGATTTTAACCGCCATGCTTCACAACCAGTTAGTTTCTTACATTCTTAGCCAACAGCATCTCTCAGAGGAGATCCCAACACCCACCGTTCCCCTTAGTATCTTCATTTTCTTCTTCTGACCAGTTGAATGGAGACTCCAGTTCTCTAGCGCCTACATTTTGGTTACCTGAAGTTTTTAGACTGAGGACGAGAATTGCCATTCTTCCTGATGGAAATGGTGATAAAATACACAGACACCCATCCACCGCCATTTGCTCAGTGCTCCCGTTGGTGCTTTGGCACTTTATACAAATTACCTCTAACTCATACAACAACCCTTGAAGGTATGGACAGTACTGTCACCTGTTTCACAGCTGAGAAATCAGATGCACACAATCATCTGAAATCAAAGGCCACAGAAGGAACAGATTGGCTTCCCTTCATGTTGTTTCCTTGTGAAATAAAACAAATGAAACACCTTTGTAGTGGAATCTCCCTGGCTTGGGTGGGTGTTCTAAGTGGGCAGAGGAATTACTTACAAAATGCTCCATTGGGGTCCACACACATGTGAGGGAAAATTCCTTCTAAGAAATTTTGATTTTGGAAGAGAATTCATTCACGAAGTCAACTCACCACGGACACTTTTTAAAAAGACTATTTATAGAGACTACACTTTGAATAATTTGCTTTGATGACATTTATGCTCCATTTCATAACATGAAATTGTACTAAACTGATATAATTAAATCCCTAAAAGTCCTATTCTGATAGATATGTAGGAGGAAAGCCTTCCAATTTAATTTCCTGTGTCCTTGTGAATCTAAATACTTCAGGTAGGAGTGAGTGCCAAAAATGTCACAGGGTTCCCAAGGTGGCCACCATGTGATCTCGGGTATTTTCCTTAAATGTGGAAATGATAGGGACAGTCTTGGTGGCCCCCAACTCTAGGTCATTGGAAAGATTAGTCAGAAATAACCTGGATTGGCCAATGTGCAGTGTTAACACAGAACTTCTAGAATCAAAGGGGGCTTTATTTACAGCACCAAAAGTAGATGTCCTGTCACAAGGCAAGAAAACAATCTGTGAATTTTTTTTTTATTACACTTGTCCCAGCCTTGGACAGTCCTTAATCCCCCACCTGCTACTCTTAGATCAACTGTGTTTTTGACTTGAGATTTGGCTTTTGTTTTTTTATTTAAAAGGTTAATGCAATGAATATACAGTACCGAATATCTGGTGGTAAGCCCTCAGTGAACACCGGAGAAGAAACCTTTAATTGAATAAAACATTTCTGCAGAAAAATGCCTGAATTCATACAAAATGGGATGAATATCTGCTATAAATAGCTTTAGGTGAGGTTTTGCCACCAAATGAGGTCTAAAAACATTTGGTTTTCAGACTTTTTGGACTTTAAATTGTGGGTAAGGGGATGGATCTATATCCATAGGGCTTGAAGAATGTGCAAGACCTTTTATGACCAGTGGTGTATCTGATTCCAATGGAGGACGTCAGGATTGGAGTTACTCAAAACCCATTTTATGCAGCTGTGTTCCAAGATGGAAAATATTTGTGCATCTCTTTGAAACAAGACAGTCATTAAAATAATCTCTCATCAAATACACCTCCTCTGGGAGGTCTGCTGCTTAGCAGTTCAAGTGGGGATAAATATCTAATGGTTTTAGTTGACCACAAGAGCTACCAGTTTGCTGTGGTCGCTAAAATGCCTAAGGAATGCAGTAGTAGGCTGCGTTAGGAGCTCGAAAGAGGCCACCCACAAAAAGAGGTGCTCTTTCATAACACAAAAGTCACACCATGCGGGAGCATTAATTCAATTCTGAACTCTCCAAGGCAGATTCTCAAGTCTTAACTGCCCCAGAAAAGTCACTTTGCTTTGGCCATGGGTGTACATGAAGGAACTGGGAGCACGTCCACCGTGGAAGTCTTTGGGCAGTTGATGGGAGCCACGGTACAGATGTTCTGATAGAGAAATAAATGAAATCATTTTAAAACATTTGCTCTGTCAAAGAATTAAATTTTGAATCCTTCTTTGTAAGACTTTTTTATCAAGTGGATCATTACTCCTAATCTCTTTTGGTCAAAGTACTCAACGTTAAATAAGGTGTCTGTGGGTTAATAGTAATCATTCAATACAGTGCTTTATGGAACACTTTCCTGAACACAGGGATAGTAGTAGATGTGTGAGTGACTCAGTCTCAAATTGCCTGCTTTAAGGGGAGAAGTAGAGTGATGATACAGGTAGAGCAAGAAAATATTAGAACGGAAAAATATAGGTGCAAAATATGGAGGAGATCATTCTGAGGAGAGATCTCAGAGCTGGTTACAGGAACAGGCATAGAGGTAAAGAAAAAAAGCTTCAGAAATAAGTGACATTCGGGATTCGCTTTGAAGATGGAAGGGTGCTGGCAGGCGCAAGGAGACTGCAGGGAGAAGTTTCATAGAACGTGCAGCGAGGCCAGAGAAAGAGGCAGAGAAGCGAGGGGAGCGCTGAAGCGCAGAGCCCCCCAGACTGGTAGAATTAGGGACGAATTCTCGAGTGTGCATCAGAATCGCCTGGAAGGCTTGTTAAAACAGATCACTGGGTCCCCCATCACCTGACCCCCAAAGAGTTTCCAGTTCTGGGGTGTAAGTCTAGGGAGAGACTTTAGAGTGGCAGCTGACAGTCCTGGTCTTGGACCACCCTTGGAGACCCACTGGATGTACAGATGCTCAGCAGCAGGGGACCCCAGTTGACCAAGATGAGGCCACATCTTGGAGAACATGTGGAGTCCCAGGTGAGGAGCCTGCACTTTCTTAGACCCTGCACACTTGAGAAACCTCATGCCAGGGAGAACAACACAGAGCCAACGTCCCATGGGCTGCGGGGCCACATTGCCTGGCTTTGTACCCCAGCTCTGCTTATTGCGATCAGCTACAAAGTGGGGTAAGAAGAGGAGTAACACCTCACAGGGCTGTTACAGGAACAAATGCTGTAATATCTCACTGTGAGCCAGGCACACAGTTAAGTCAGTGTGTTTGTGAAATAAAGACGTGGAATCAAGATGTTTGTTGATCAAGATGTTAAATAAAATGCAATGTCAGAAAAGCATATTATGATGTCCAATCAGTGAGCAGTGTGAGGGATGGGCAGACAGGAAAACCAGCAAGGAGGCTATTATGGCCATCCCAGTGGAGCAAAGCAAGCTCCCAAACTCCGTGTGGGCCTGCTGTGGGAGACGCTTAGCCGCAGACCCTCTGAAGGCCTTGCCCGATGCCCAGAGATTGGGTTTCTTTGGTTTTGGGGTGGGATGCAGAAATCTGCTTGTGTGTTTTTTTTGAACAACCACCCCCTTTTGTGATATTGATTTAAGCATTCAAATTATAACCTTGAAA